TGCGTATGAACACCTCGTGTTGCGTATGACCACTTCGTGTTGCGTATGAACACTTCGTGTTGCGTATGAACACTTCGTGTTGCGTATGAGCACTTCGTGTCGCGTATGAACGCCTCTCGTTGCATATGTATGCTTTCTTTTGCGTATAAATATTTTGTGTTGCGTATAAACGCTTTGTGTTTGCGTATAAAGGCTTCGTGTTGCGTATGGTTAGCTTCGTGTTGCGTACAGTCAGATGGCTCGTCTGTACAGCAAGAGCTTCTCTTTGTGAGTCTCGCCGCCATGCATATTGGAGTGAACGCATCGCGACTGCTCTCGTCCTGAATATGTTTACACGAAATATTCACACGGTAAATATTAATACCACTGAGTGCCTTGAAGGTCTTAGAATCTTTTTGCTTCCAAAAGCGTGTCTCTTGCCAGCCAATCCTTCCGCCGTCTAGCATTCTCGTCCACATTTTCTTGAGTGTCAAAGTACACAGTCCGTATCAAAGAACATCTTCAGTATCATTACTATCTCGAATTTTTTCGTACGCTGTGATGCTATGACTATTATGTCAAAATAAATTATGATTTTTCGGTAACATAACTTGGAAGAAAATTCTCGCAAATTCTTGGGTATATGATCAAATTATTAAAATTACACTTTGCGATATGTAAATGCATTCTTATTGTAAATAATAGCGATCTTGGTGTCGTTAAAATAGGTAAAATATATCAAAACGTTCTTTAGTTCAAACTGATGCAACTTGGTTCCTTTCTATCTCAGAAATTTGAAAGACACGAAATTTGAAATGACATTGCACGAATTCTGACACCTGTCAGCCAAATAGTGTTAATATATTGCATATGCATGTTGATAAAATGCATATTATGTGCTGTTAAGTCACATTTACGAAAGTTGCAGTTTAAACCAAAACCTTACTTTTGTGATCTGTAAGAAATAATTGAGAATGAAGTCCATTAATGACCTTGCGCTTGAACTCCGTAAAATTTTAATTTAGTTTAAACCGTAATATAAACTTTGAAATATTTTCTTGATGCCATGAAATTTGTAATCTATATGTGGATTATGAATTGTCGGCGTTCTAAAACAATTCACTATAGAATTATTCAAACAATTGAGACAGAATATCGTGGCATGTTTCTAGATTTGTGTATCTGTTGCTCGCATATCTTGGAAACAAATTCAAAATTGACTAAAAAATGGGACTTGTGAAACTAATATTAGAACGCAGGTTTTGCCCTTGACTAAATATGCTCGTAGCTGGAAAGAGAAAACCCAACGACCATGAAGTGTTAGGTGTTGTCAATTTATGACCGGCCGATAATTAGACTAAGCCATTGATGAGGTGATTGAACACTCTGAAAATTAATGTGACTTATAGTCCAAATAAGGACACATTTTCTTGCCCACAGCTTGAGGAGAGAGCGAACGTGGCACTGATACGCCCTTTGACCGGGCCAAACTGGCTGTGTGTGACAAACGCGAGAGCAAAAAGTGCATCGCTTTTTAAGTTACCTAATCCACTTTGATAAATGGATTTATAATTGATCGTTTTGTTTACGCTGCTTCAATTCGAGATGTTTTAAAACCATTTCTGTTCTATATATTATATTATGTATAATATTATATAAAACCATATTAAAGAAACTGAATTTTTATCCTCAGAATTATAGAGATTCTAGGGGTAAACTTCCAACCTTTCAGTTATAAATATTTATCACAGAAATTTTTTACCTATTGATATCGCCGTCCCTTATTAATGCAAAAGTAGCAACTGTGAGCACCATAATCAGTTGAAAATGATTACTGCTGCTTATACACAGTTTAAAAAAAATGAGATGTTTGAGCGAGAATGAAAATAATCTCTGATTGACTATTCAGAAGTTTCCGAATGATCATTTCCTTAATGTGAATCGCGTTCGTTAACTGAGAGTTAATAGGGAAGTGTCCACTATTGTGGTCGATCCTCTTTTACCTTTTACTGGTCATAGTCAAATCAGCCCTTGTCGCCCGTCAGCCATTTATCAGCCATGCAAAAGTCGCTTTCTTCTCATCATTTGCAACAAGGAAGTGTCCCTAAGTTTGCTATTGGTTTAGGTGGCAGCCACTGATGACGCTCTTCATCTTACATGACACCAGAGTGTTGCACTCAGAAACGTGAATGGGTCGCCATTTTGTCCGAATAATGACACACTCTCACACCCGCTCTACATGAACGGTCCTTATTATCCAAGGAGTGACACACTTTCGCACCAACAACATGAGCAGAGAGCGGACGTATCACCGATGTGCCCTTTTATCGTGCCAAACTGGGTCGGAATGAGTGACAATTGCGATAAGTGCACCGCAATTTGGACAATGAGCCACTCATTTCTGTGAGTGTCGCTAGTCACCTGGACAAGAGGCTATAGCCAATTGATGGCACACGTCACACCGCTGCATTGTGTTCTCGAGATAAAGCACTCAGTTCTTCAGAGATGCCACATTAAAGATCATTTACCTTGACACTGAACTATCCTGCTGCCCACTGGCCTGCGCTTGTCCAGGCTTGTGATGTCATGCACTTATAACTCTCGACCGCCTGATAGTTAACAGCTGTTGTAATGATTGGCGATAATTCGTTAACCCATGATACGCTGTTCGAAAAAAACGTAAAAAATATAACTCAGTACTCACTGCAGTGAGTGACAGAGAGCGCATTTTCTCGTCGACGAAAACGTGTAGTTGCGGACAGACGGACGGACGGATGGACGAACCAGAGCGAGCACAATAGTGCATTTTTCCATATATGAGAAAATTCGCTAAAAATGGTCTTATCTACGTTCTAATGACCGGCCCCCCTGTGAAAATGATTAGTTTTGCTGTTCTTTTTTTAGATATTGTACGGGTTTCCAGTGTTGAATTGGAATAAAAACGGCCCATGGTGTTTCTTTTGATTGCCGGCGGCCACTGGAACGCTGGTAATACCGTTCGAAACGGTGATTTTTCGAATAGTGTAGTTCACAACTAAGCGATGGAAACAACCCAAAGTAAACGAAAACGCGGGCGATGAACGCTCTGGTTCAGGAGCACTGAAAATGTTTTCATTAAAGCCAAATGAAATATTTATTATGTCAATCGGTCATTTTTCTCTGACTTATTGTTGTTATTTGATTTCGCCTGCACTGTACTTAGTTGCACTAGAAAACGTGGGTTTCTATTCCAACTTTTATCACTCGCAGGCGGAAGTTGATTTTGAGTCTTGAATGATCGCCATGCGCCTGTGACAATTTCTGCCTAAATTTCTATGTTTATTACTTATTAACTACATGATCTCAGGGCTGCAAACTTTATACACGCCAATAATTGACATATTGTCCAAATATTTATTTTTTACCTACAACACGAGCAGAGAGCGAACGTAACTCTGATAATCCTTCTTGCCGGGCCAGACTGGCTCAGGAAGACCCACACAAGAGCAAGAAATGCATCGCCATTTGGTCCTAGTCTCATTTCTCTGAGTGTACAGTTTACTTGTTATTGTTCTTTGTGCGTCAGCTTGCCCTTATGCCATTTTTTTGGAGTGATGTCATTACTGTGACGATGCAGCGTGACTTACAATGCTGTTCCGCACACGACGTCGTGCTGCTTCCTTTCCCGGTGTAGCTTTTTACTCATTGCGCCATGATGACTCATACACTATATTTATTATCATGCATAACCATATGGCACTCTATATTTATAATCATACATAACCATATGGCACTCCATATTTATAATCATACATAATCATATGCCATGGCACTCTATATTTATCATCTTACATAACCATATGGCACGGATTGAATTCTAAATAATCATATATGCAATATCCTCAGTTTTAGTTTTATGGGTCGTTTCTCAGGAATTGTTGTTGAGAAGACATTTCATCACTACAATATTGAGTTCAGAGGCAGGGGCTCCGTTAATTACTAATTAAATTATTAAGTTAATTACTATTACATATTAAAGACTTGAATAGGATTATACTGTATTCCTCATGGCTGCTTGACGTTCGTATCTTCCCAATTTGACTTCCGATGCCCAATAACGTAAAAAATAGGAAAATAAGATAAAATGTGGTATTGCAAATTTCAAAATGACGTTCACTCTTTCGTCGGGCTCTAATCATCCTTAAATATCACAAGCTAGTTAAATAATATATTTTATTACTTTCATAGGTGCAAACATATGGCGCATCATCATGGCGCATTTCATAGGTGCAAACATATGGCGCATCATCATGTCATGCGTTAATGTAAAAATTAAATGGAGCATATTGTTCTGTAAGTGAAGGACTTCCCGCACGCAGCACTGATACATACGCTTTATTCCCTCTCCATACTGAGTCAGGATATATCCACGAAAGGATAGACAGCTCATCGCTGTTTGAACTTACGTCTCTTCAATTTTTCTGAGTGCTCGACATAAAATTACGAGTGTTGTCTCTCGTTATCGCTGTTTTCTTTCATTACAATAAAAAGGAGATGAAAAAACGATGTTTAAAAATTACGCTTACCTTCTAATAAGATTCCAATCCTCTTCAATTTATCTGACGGCGTTGAATTAATTTAGTTTCTTTATTCTAATTATTATTACGAAATTAATGAGTTTCATCTTGCAAGTTTCGCAGGATCAGCATTATGCTATGCGCGCATATGCACCACTTGAAGGAGAGAAAGGGTAGGATGTATGCGGTTATATATAGGTCGTGGAAAGGTCGTCAGGATGTATGCGGTTTTGTTTCATTACAGCTTATACTTCTCTGTGCAGATTTTAATATTCAGAGTGCTTACTGTGTTTAGTGTGGAAGAAACTGGTTTTTGTACGCTGGGTTGCATTGTAAGAAACTTGAAATTGCGCTGTAATTTTATAATTGTAATTACTTTGTTGTGTTAAAAGAGAGAGAAACAAACCGGACGTCGGAAATTTACCGGATTTATAGTTTACCAGACGTCGGAAATTTTTTGTGAAATTGATTATTGCTATACTTGATCAATTGATTGAATATAAAAGCAAGGATTATTATTCGCAGAAAAAGTTGATTTATAGTGATTATTGCCAGGAAAAAGGCTCTCTAACTCTGCTCTGGAAATCTCTATTTATATTGCCCAAGGTCTTAGCAAAGAAACAAAACATATTTCTGATTGAGTCGTCTTGAGATACAATACCAAGTAGCTGCATTCAAACCTCGTGATAATACTGCTCTGTAATTACGATCAAAATTCGCGATGTGAAATTTCTTGAGTTCTACTTCTGCACCTCATCGCGCTCGATGCTTATCAGCACATCATTGCAATGCTGGAGGTGATGGACCAACGCCGAAACGGCAGCGGTGGTGGTGGAGGTGGTGGTAGAACCACCCCTACCAACACCGGTAGTGATGGGGGTTTGTCCCGTTTCGGGGGAAGCCATCGATCATCGTGCCTAACCAACCGCTACAGCTCCCCAAACATCCACGCACTCATCCACAACCATCATCCTAACTGCTCTGGGGGCAGTGGTAGTGCCGGCGCTAGTCCCGTGGCCAGTAGGGAGAGCAGTCCTCTGCTTCTCAAGCGGGCCATCGGGCTGTCCATGCTGCAGGTCGCTGGAAACTGTTCTTCAGGACAATGTTCGCCGGTGTCACAGCATGAGAAACTGCACAGCACACTCAAGCGATCCAACTCTCTTAAGAGGATTCTCAGGATGCCGCTCTTCGGAGGTCCAGGTACGTCATTTTATTAAGTAACATTCCACTCAAGAGAAGGTAGTACGTGATTTTAGTAACATTTCATCACGTACCGGTACTATCATAAATTCAGTAATATTCCTTAAAGTTAAGGTACTCTGTAATCCTGATTATAAGGAAGGTATGGTGCAGTGATCAGGTTTCGGATATTCAGGGTGCCGGTTTTCAGTGGTAAAGGTATCTTTAATGCACCAATCCTGTTTATAGGGAAGGTACACTCAGAAAAATTACATTACTGGTTGGGAGACCCAGCCTGCTGCTCGTCAGTGGTCCAGGTACGTAGATACATAAATCGTGATAACAGGTCAATTCCACTGCATTGTTCTATTTTTGGCGGCTTTATACCAATTGTTCTACTATTGTTCATCTCTTCAAGACTATAAACGACCCTAAATATATTACCTGCAATTGGCTTCATTTTGTGTTCTACTTACGAAACTATGAGTTTATTTGTTCATCTAACTATTTTTTGGATAGCTAGAAACGCCTGTGAAAACAAGAGACTAATTAAAAGAGCTTCTAATGTCATTCCAAAGAATTTCGGCGCATGTTTGTATAATTACAGCTATCCAGATCCTTGAATTATTTTCGCGTTCGAGTACTATAATTGAGCACGACTCAGCGAAGTGAATCCTCGTATTCATTAAACAAAAATTCATTGTTGCTTGAGCATAAAAATTGAACTATTGTTACGAGAAAGGTTAATAAAAGACAGTAACTTGGGCGCTGTCTAGGTAATAATTTTTTCCTGCATAATCTTTGGTGCGGGCGAGACAAACTTCGCCATATAAATTCCTGGTCGGAATTTGAGGCAGTTTCTCGTAAAGTATTTTAATTTACGTCGGAACAAACAAGGTCAAGGCCCCGACTGCTGCAGTTCTCAGCTCTCATTTGTGTACGATACAAACGTATTCGTATATCATACAATTTTGGTGCGATAACGTCGGTTCGGCGTTTGAATATAGTTCAAAATTCAATGTACCAAGATCGACGTTGCTTCAACGCTGATATAATGTCTTTTCGAGTGATGGTCGTATTTCGACGTTGATTTAACATTCAATTTAGGTTGAGCAACGTTACAGCATTAAACCAACGTTGATTCAAGGTCAGATGCCTGTTGGGTAGCTTCTCTTCTAGAAGTCTTTCGTCTTACGCTATGCTGCAGCGTCAGCAGAGCGTATATTCTGCTGAGTTTGCTTAAATGAATTGCGCTGCTACAATGAAATATGTGATGCATTTATTTCACAAGCACCTGCTTTGTTGTAATAACGGGAATTTTGCTGCTGCGATGTTTACTGTATTGTGTTGCTTCTATCGCAGCTTGCGTCGTTAACTGTTTGGCCAGATTTAAATGTACCACTACTGTACGTGTTCTTGCAATACAGCGGCATGCATTGTATTGGGCTAGTCTGAATTGATATTACTTTTTCGACACACAAGATTGGGTTCGTTTCAACGCTCCGAAATACACTAGAGAGGTAATAACAAATCACTTCTGTGATGTGTTATTACAAAAATCTCATCTACTTCAAATCCATATTATGCTGTTTACCTTGAGATTAACATCGCTGTCTTTACTGAATGTTTTTCTGTATGATTTCCTTTGGAAGCAAGTCTAAAGGCCATTTATTAAAGGATCACAAAAATGATTAATTTTACAGTGAATTGTGTGTTTCTAGGGATTGAACTTTTCTTTTTTCGTTCAAGGCTCACGAACTAAATTAAATTTATTAGTCAAATTTTTTTCTTAAGTAAGTTTTCTTCTGTTTCTTTGAAGCCCACATGAGTAATTTGTGTTGAAATATAACTTTCAATTTTTGTTAAAAATAAATTTCGTTGAATGAGTTTCTTAATCGCATGAGCCCTTGAACGCTACAAAAATATCATAAATTTTACTCTGAATAGTACAGCGGCGTAGTTGTCGTACACTCAGAGAAATGAATGAAACCTTCAAACAACCATGCATTTTTGCTCTTATGTGGGTCATCCTGACCCAGTTTAGTCCTTAAAAAAGCTTATCAGTGGTACGTTTTGTGGTTTAAAAAAATTATCAGTGGTAGCGCTTTGCTCTCATGCTGGGGTGAGGAAAGCGTGTCACTATTCTGGCAACAAAACCCATTAATTTTTGTGAGTGTAGCCATCGTGCCCATGCAGGGTGCCAGCTGCTGTACAGACGCCAGCTCAGAAGTGCGCTCTACGCACAATATTTTCTATGATGTTATCTTATGAACGTAATATTTTCTATGATGTTATCTTATGAACGTGGGCGTTAATACAAAGATTAAGCTGTTCTTCAGTCACGTGCGAGTAATGCACATTATATTGTTTATATATATATTTCAAAATAGCTCTGTTTTAAAGGCTACAAATTATTAAATTCGTAAATTCGGACAACATGTTCTTTGTGAGTTCTGCATCTGTTATAAAAATTTTCCAACCTAATATTTTTAGAAGCTTTTATACACAATATTGTATGGTATTATTACTCAATACGAGATAGATGGACATAATTGCGAGTAAAATGTGGTATGTGCTGTCAATCATCTGCCGTGTGATCAATCATCTATATGAGTGGTAAATTATCCTAGTAGTAAGTGAGGAATGGTAGGAGATGTTGGTAAGCAAGACGATTAGTAGAAGATTAGCAGCAGTCCATGAACTGTGCACAGTAAGCAGGATGAGAGGCAGTAGATTAGCAGCAGTAGATGAGCAATGGCGAGGTAGAATAACGGTCGATGAGAGGTAGAGCAGCAGTAGATGCGCGTTAGAGCAGCAGTAGATGCACGGTAGAGCTGCAGTAGATGCGTGGTAGAGCAGCAGTAGATGCACGGTAGAGCAGCAGTAAATGCATGGTAGAGCAGCAGTAGATGCGTGGTAGAGCAGCAGTAGATGCGCGGTAGAGCAGCAGTAGATGCGCGGTAGAGCAGCAGTAGATGCATGGTAGAGCAGCAGTAGATGAGGCAAGATAAGTAGCGAGGGTGACGCTTCCTGTGTTAAGCACGCGCGCTCAGACGCGCTGTTTATAGGACGAGGGATTGTCAGCTGCGTCCTCTCTATCCTTTCTGCCCTCTCTGTCCTCTTTATCCTCTCTGTCCTCTCTGCTTTCCCTATCCTCTTTATCCTCTCTGTCGTCTCTGCCCTCTCTATCCTCTCTGCCCTCTCTGTCCTCGTGCTTTATTCCAGTTTGTATTTTCCTTCTGTATAATATCACATTTACTTGAGTTAGTACTAGCCTCTTTACTGCTCTTTTTACTCGAGTTTGCAGCTGCCCTTTTTAATGTTCTCTTCTCCCAACTGTATATTTGGTACTGTCCCTCTCAACCGTCTCCTTGACTCGACTCATAGCTTCGTCCCTCTTTACTCGAGTTACTGCTTGTCTTTTTGACTTTATTTTCTTCATATTTCTTCACAGTTGACTTTTTCAATGCATCATGTTCATTCTTGGGTCACGTTTGCCACTGATGCTCTTTTTGAGGTTGTCCATCAACTCATTAGTGACGAATTCACCGGCGAAGGCAGATCATAGAAGTTAATTATTACTCAGCAAGAGTATGGTTCGTCATGCAAGATGTATGAGCTAATACTAACCAGTATTGGCTCATATTTATGCAAACCCTTTCACTTTAGCCTTCGGCTTGGGCGGTGCATGCATGATTGCACATCTAATCAGAAGTTGTGATATTGAAGTTGCTCGTACGTTCTTCGGAGGCCGAGTTCTTCTAATGGAATTAGCTGTTATCTGAAGTCTTGAGAGAGCGACTCTCTAGATCGTACACTAACTCAGAGATATGAGCGAGATTTTGTCCAAATAGCGATGCAATTTTTGACTTTTGTGCTTCACCCTGACCCAAGTTGCTCCTGGGAAAAGGGCATGTTACTGCTATGTGCTTAAAGTGTTACACAATTAGGACAAAATAACCCACTCATTTTTCTGGATCAATGGGAGAAAAAAAACACGTCAACCATTTTCCCGTGTGCCCTTTACCTAGCGCGGGGCTCTGCACTCAGAAAAATGAACGAATCATCGTTCAAATTATGATGCACTTTCTATTCCACTGCACGAACAGCGAACGGCCGTAGCACTGCTAGGCTTTTTTGCCGGGCCAAACTTTGCGAGGATGACTCACACTATTGTAAAATGTGTATCGCTATTTGGACACCTCCCCAGTCATTTCTTCAAGTGTGAATAGCGTGTGCGACCTCTGACAACGTCTCTTTCTCTCTGGATTAGTTTGGCGTCGTGTGGGCAGAACGACCTCCATGGTATCTCTATTGATTAATCCGCATGTGTAATATGAATTGGATACAGAGTTTTTCAACGTGATTGGCAGTAAGTCAATAGTGTGGAAATTAATTTTATATCCAGAAGATATATATCTGCTTTGCAATTTACTGATATAGTTTGTGGTGCTCTAGTTGTGAAATGAAATCGGAAATCGTTCGATGCGAAAGGTACGTCAAATGTTACCCAATGATAGTTGATAATTTCAACCACTCAACTAATGTGAAACGTAGTTTATGTTTAGCAGAGATGCTCTGCAAATTTCTGAAACCTTTTATTTTGAATAACAGCTAGAATTATATTTAAATTTAATTATTATTTCAAATGCTATTCTTTTCATCCATTTGCTTGCAAGAACAAAACCATGAAATGTTATCCTAGACCTAGACTGTACATTCTCCGATTCTATGCCTGCTAATCATCGCGTACAGTGAACATATTCCTCTATGTTACGTACAGTTAACAGAACATTTATATTGCGTACAGTCAACATATTCCTCCATTTATGGACCATTTATATTGACTAAGTGAATATATTCGTCTATGTTGCGTAAAGTTAACGGACCATTTATATTGCCTACATTGAACATATTCCTCTATGTTACGTACAGTTAACGGACTATTTATACTGCGTATCGTCAACTTATTCCTCTATATGCTACGTACAGTTAACGTACCATTTATATTGCCTACAGCG